AAAAAAAAAAGCAAAAAAATGTAGAAATGTTTCGTCTCTCATCCGAAGGACTTCTTCAGTCTGAGGTGCTGTATTCAGCTCAGTCTCTTAAATAGCACCTTCTCAGAGTGGATCAACCAGCTTGCTGCTGACAACCAAAACCAGCTGCTCACATGATCAAGAAGGACCATCAGCCTAACAATGGATCATTAACACACTGATGGCTGTTTACTATTCACAGAGGGCTGAGTGATACTAGCAATCACAGCATTGTAAGAGGGGTACAGTTGAACCCGGAGGCTCCACCCCTGTTTAATGATGGACGATTTCTTTTCACAAAGATGGCCTCCTTTACTCCTCTCTCAAACCGTCGTTCCTCTTATCCAGGATGTGAACATCTTCATCCCTGAAAGAGTGACCTCTGGCCTGGAGATGAGTGTAGACCACACAATCCTGGCCTAATGATGTTGCTCTTCTGTGCTGACCATCCTTTTGGCCAGTGGCTGTTTAGTTTCCCCGATGTAAGACTGATTACAGCCCTCCTGACACTGAACAACATACACAATATTACTCTTTGCCGGGGAACTGGATCTTTGGGATGAACCAGTCTTTGCCGTAATGTATTTTGGGGTTTAAAAGCCACTGGGACGTTATGTTTAGAAAATAAACGTCTCAGTTTCTCTGATACTCCCTCAACATACGGAATGACCACTGGTCTGGGTTCCTCCTTTTCACCTGATGGCTGACTGGAGTCCTGTTTGGGTTTCTTCTTTCAGGAAGGCCCAGTTAGGATATCCACATTGCTCTAGAGCCTGTCTTATGTAGCATTTCTCCTTCTGCCTGGCTCCTGAGTTGGTGGGGATGCTGTCTGCTCTGTGATTCAGAGTCCTGATGACTCCTAACTTGTGCTCCAAAGGGTGATGGGAGTCAAACTGCAAATACTGGTCTGTGTGGGTGGGTTTGCGGTACACCTCAGTTTTCAAATGTCCTCTATCAGATGTACTCACCACTCTTAGCAAGGACAAAAACATCATCATTTTCCCAGCAGACAAAGGAAGGTGCACAGTGATTTTGAACCAGAAAGACTATCATGAGAAAGTTATGACACTCCTTAGTGACTTAACCACTTATGAACCTCTGAAAAGAGATCCAGGAAGTGGTTACAAGAAAAAGTTAATAGATTGCCTGAGAAATTTGGAGCAGGACAAGGCTATTGACCATATTCTGTACCACAGACTGTACCCAGAGGAGGCCACACCTAGTCTGTATGGTTTACCTAAAATCCTCAAACAAGTTGTACCTTTAAGACCTATTGTTAGCATGATTAACTCTGTCACTTACAATGTTTCCGAATATCTGGCGTCTGTACTCATCCCTTTAGTTGGCAGCTCAGAACACCACATACAGAACACCATGGACTTTGTGGATAAGGTGAGGGCTGTTATCATGGAGACTGTTGAAACAATGGTCTCTTTTGATCCAAAAAATGTTCAATCTGGTCCTCTGGACATTCAAAAAAACAAAAAACAAAACAAAGCAAAAAAATATAGAAACGTTTCGTTTCTCATCCGAGAGACTTCCTCAGTCTGAGGTGCTGTATTCAGCTCAGTCTCTTAAATAGCACCTTCTCAGAGTGGATCAACCAGTTTGCTGCTGACAACCAAAACCAGCTGCTCACATGGTCAAGAAGGACCATCAGCCTAACAATGGATCATTAGCACACTGATGGCTGTTTACTATTCACAGAGGGTTGAGTGATACTAGCAATAACAGCAGTGTAAGAGGGGGACAGTTGAACCCGGAGGCCTCCACCCCTGTTTAATGATGGACAATTTCTTTTTTCTTTTTTTTTTAGATGGCCTCCCTTCTCCCCTTACAGCCATCCTCTCCACACCATTATTATGAAATATTTATTTTAGTGATTATCTAGTGTAAATTTTTTTTTAATAGGATAGAAAGAAAGAAAAGACAAAGTAAGACTCCAAAATGTAAGAAATATACACAAAGAGAGCACACGGCAAAACACCCGGCCACTGTCTGTTCACCTGCAAAGAGCATGACAAAACACAGCAACAAAATACATATGTATAAAGAACTTAAAATATTCATGGCTTTGCAGTAAGTTTCCATAAATATATATACCCATACCTACGCCTATATACATACACATGAATATACATTCACATACATATCTATATATCTATATATCTACAGGTCCTTCTCGAAATATTAGCATATTGTGATAAAGGTCATTATTTTCCATAATGTAATGATAAAAATGAAACTTTCATATATTTCAGATTCATTGCACACCAACTGAAATATTTCAGGTCTTTAATTGTTTTAATACTGATGATTATGGCATACAGCTCATGAAAACCCAAAATGCCTGTCCCAAAAAATTAGCATATCATGAAAAGGTTCTCTAAACAAGCTATTAACCTAACCATCTGAATCAACGTCGTAACTCTAAACACCTGCAAAAGATTCCTGAGGCTTTTAAAAACTCCCAGCCTTGTTCATTACTCAAAACCGCAATCATGGGTAAGACTGCCGACCTGACTGCTGTCCAGAAGGCCATCATTGACACCCTCAAGCAAGAGGGTAAGACACAGAAAGAAATTGCTGAACGAATAGGCTGTTCCCAGAGTGCTGTATCAAGGCACCTCAGTGGGAAGTCTGTGGGAAGGGAAAAGTGTGGCAGAAAATGCTGCACAATGAGAAGAGGTGACCGGACCCTGAGGAGGATTGTGGAGAAGGGCCGATTCCAGAC